GAGAGAGAGAGAGAGAGAGAGAGAGAGAGAGAGAGAGAGAGAGAGAGAGAGAGAGAGAGAGAGAGAGAGGGCATCGGTCAGTCCCCTCCACCATGAATTCATCACCGGTCATAAATGTTTTTGCGAGCGAAGCCGCAACAGGGCATCTAGTACAGCCATAAATATCCTAGTGTGAGTATGATCTGAAGGTTCCTTGTTCAGATGAGCCGGAGGGCAGCCACTAACACTCTTCTGGGGGCGAAGAAGTCTCTGTTCCTTGTTCGATTCTGACGGCAGACAAGTCTGCGCCCAGAAGTCCTTGGCTTAATTTGGAGCACAAGTCTCTGTAACAAAGTGAAAGGGGGCAAAAGCTTCCCAATGTTCCCATTTATGTCTGGGAGCATGGTGACCTTCAAACCGTTTTGGAACAGACATAGGTGATTTTCTGTTGCCATATCGTTTAAATTGTTTGATTTGATTGACAATATTTTGTTTCTTCATGTTAATATTCCTGCTGTGTGTGGGTTTGTTGTGCTGACTTCCAGGACCCGATCAGGGTATCAACTGGCTCTTACTGGATGGTGGAGACTTGGATGAGCCTTCACCTTCATCATTGCTTGTGGGGCCTCAAGACCGTGATGAGGTGACCATAGCTCAGTCTATTATCACTGCCCCCTCAGTTATATCATATTCTCATGACCCTCTTCTTTGCCATCTCTCAGAGTAGCACATTCCTATTCGGCAACTCATGACTCGTATTTGAGTGGAGCATCTGATTTTTCTGCTTTTTTTGTCTTTTCAGTTGTATAAGGAAAAACGGAAGGAAAGCACAACCAGCGCACTCAGCAACTGTGAGGAGCATCACTCAGGTTTTTCATTCAACTCCTAGGTTAAGGATGGAAGATGGGGCGGGAAGGGTCACGGTGAGGAGCATTTGAGGATATTCCACTGATGCTGTGGGCTGGGCTTTGCCTTACTCCCCCCACCCTTCGTCTTGTGATTCATATTATTAGCTGTATCAACTTGTATGAGCATGGCTCTGTGAAAAAACTCAGAATCTTGGTGGTGAGCAGAATTCTGACGGACTGTTTTTTTTTACTGCTTGGATGAAAAATCATTTACTATGTCAAGCAGGGTTTTAGCGGAGCTTCTGATGGTGAACACGCTGCTCCCAATGAAATGACAGAGGTGGAGGAAAGCTTCTTCCAAAGCGGCAGCAAGAGTTCATTATCAAATCGCTCCCACCAGGTGCTGGGCACTATTGCAGGTGAGGCACGCCACAACACCACCTGGGGAACATATACACAGGCCCCAAAGATCGGGGATGGAGAGAACTGCAAAGGGCCAATTAGTGCCACTGTGGCACAGGGCGAAGGGACAGGCTTTTTACCTGGTTTACATCAGCATACTGTTTATCGACAGCAACGTCCTCAACCTAGTAGTCAGCAGCAGCCACCAATGGAGCAGAGCTCGACTTCCGACGTGCTCTATAATGTTCAACCTCCTCATGATTACCAACTGAATTCGCACGAGCATTTTCTGTCTTCAAATCTCCAGCAGCAGCAGCAGCAGCAGCAGCAGCTATACCAGCAGGAGCAACACCAGCAGCAATACCAGCAGGAGCAACACCAGCATCAATACCAGCAGGAGCAACACCAGCAGCAATACCAGCAGCATCAGCGATTTCAGCAGCAATACCAGGAGCAGCAGCAGGATCGATACCTTCAGAAGCAGCAGCAGTACCCCTATCACGAGCAGCAGCATTTGCCGCCGCAGCCAAGTTCATCAGCTAGCCGGGCATCAGAAGATGAGCGAGGTTCTGAGGAAGATGCCTTCGCTGACGAGTTGGATGACGTGGAGAGCTTGATCCCTATGCCTTTCTCCGAGGTTGAGGTGCCTCATCGTTTGGAACAACACGGGAAGCCCGAGTTTCCTGAATGCCAAAGAGTAATGCCTGGTTACTTAATGGAAGGAAAAGAAAAGAAAATACCATCTCAACAAGCACGCTATCTGGACAAGGTGGCACTGAGAATTTTCCCTGAAAGGGCAGGTGTTGCTCACAGCCCAATGGAAAGCACAGGTTCTGTCAGTGTAAGTACCACACCCATGCCGAAACTTTTTGGTCACGTAGTTGATATGATGAGAAGAGATGCAGTCAAGACTGGTATTGATGACGAAGTTGATCGACAACTCACGGAGCGCTTGGATCGCTTACTGCTCAGTGAGGATGCAGCTTCATCCATCCAATTTGCAAAACTCACCATCAGCGCAGCGCACCATCGCTACATCATTGAGGATTTCGCTCCCCAGTGGGTTTTTACAGGGGACCATCAGGCCAAGGTAGGCACGCATTCTTTCCTCACCCTAGTGAATGCAATGCAGGATGGCAGTATGTGTCGTTGCGCTATTGAGCCTCAGCTCACAGACGACGGCTCATCAAGCACATGGAACATAAAGACCGGCACTAAGACAGAAAGACTGCTTAAAAGTTGCAACAGTCATACAGATGATACAGTCATTGCAATTAACTCCACATAAGAGCACGCGCACAGGGGCTGTTATAGACGTATTTGACCGCAATTACTGCTGGATCTCGATGCATCTGACTGCGATTATGAGCAGAGCATGACTGAAGCCAACCATCTCACGGTTAACTCTGTTTCATGACAGCCACCTCACCTATCTTCTGCATCCCCTCTCCTAGTTATATGTGGCACAGCTCTGTCCCTCTAGTTATGCCTTCAGTCACTCTTGTCTCTCCTCTGGCAGCGGGTGCAGGAGGTGGTGCTAGCCTGAGGCAAAATGTGTTCGAGCATGAATGAATGCCAGACCTGATGAACGCTGTGTGCTGATGTCAGGCTGTATATTTTGGAGTTTGGGTTTGGACCACCTATGGTTGGAGTGAATGAATTCCATCGAGTAACTGTTGCTTATCGCTGGCAAGCATCAAGAATCAGTTTTTTACTGAAGAGAGAAAGGAGAAAAGGTAGAATAGACCAAGAAAGGAGCAGGAAAAGATGAAAAGACAAGCACAGCAGCGCCGTACGGCAGCATGTCTGGCTGCTGACTCACCATCCAGAAAGTTCTAATGGGGCGCGCATGCTGGGTGGGAAACTTCCAAATGGTACCCAGTCACTTAGCATCAACACCCCCAGAACACTCGAGCATGTGCCAGTACTAGGCATGCTGCCTGCTAGGCGAACCATCTGTTTACTGGTCGAACGCTCCTTAAGCCCCTCTCACCGCCTAACAGGCTAACACCTCCCTCTACTTAACCTGAAGTCCGAAGTTTCATGGCAGTTGATTTCTCGAGGCTTCTAATTTTTCCAAGCATGAATGGCCTGGAAAGTGCCACGCATGGGCTAGCGAGTGAGGTACATTTTTGAAAAATCAGGGACTAAAGATTTCTAGTTTTTTAACTTTTCTCGCACCCGCCAACCTTAAATCCCTACCCGACTAGTTTGCTTCTCTCCTACCAAAAAAAAAAAAAAAAAAAAAAAACAACGCGTCCTTATGGTCGTGGCTCCTTGTCCATTCTGGGGAGTGTCAGTCCGGTTCCTTTCCACCAGCAAGTAAGAACCAGATACATCAGTACCCACTCAATGCATCCTTCCATCTGGGCCGAAGGATCCCTGAATAGCATTGACCGTTCCTCTCAGATGCAGGTAAACTGCGTCTGTCAGAAAGGCGTATAAACCAAGAACGTAAAGGAGAGGCTGCTGCTGTACGACCAGCCTGGCCCCAAGCGGAACATATACCTGTTGAAGGCAGACTGTCCCCAACGAACGCATTAACCTGCAGAGAACCACATGCGAAGCAAGCGGGACAGGCAGCAGGGCAGCGGCGGAGCACAGACGAGGACGTCCACATATCCAACACGGAGCAAAGCAGCACATGACCTACTCACATCACGATTTACTGCCCATGTTACTGCCACTGGTCTCTTCCGCCTCCTTTTCTTCCTTCTTCTCCCGCTATCATCTGCTCTTTTGTTTTCCCTTCTTTTATTTTTTGCTCGGCATCCTTCCCCTTTGCTTCTCCTCCGCCATCGTATGCCTGGTCATATTAGCTGCATATGGAGCGTTGTTGGAACGATGGCTATCCTCCTCCGCCACCGCTGCTGCCTCATCATCATGCTCCTCCTCCCGCTATAAAGGGACCGCAGCCCGGCTTACCTCACACTCTAGTAATGGGGCTTGGTTTAATGCTGCGCGCGCAGCGCTCAGTAATAAAAGGAAGAAGGGGTTTTAAGAAACAATCTCTCTGTTGCATGCTGAGCCTGCACATGGGCCCCATTTCAGGGACCCGACGGTTGCTGAGGGGCCCCCAGGCCGCGTGCCTTTCAGACACGCCCCCTGGAAGCCCTTAGGCCGCAGGTACTGATATGAGACAGCATTCATTCATTTATTTATTTATTTGTTTATTCGCTGTCCTATTTTTGTCTGTTCAGACGTCGTTTCGGACTTGCAGTCCCCAAGGCCACGCCTTGGGCTGGGTACACCAGGAGGCAGGGCCGTTGGAGGCCAGGTGCTTTTTGGTGCCCTGCTGCATCAGCAGGACGGTCTGGACGCCCGGTAGGGGACCAGACCGTGTGGGCAGTTTTCAGGCCAACGCCGAGGCAGACCCAGCCGGCCCAGCGCTACATATAGCTGGGCCACGGCTGAGCGGGGACACAGTTTGAGTACCTCACTTCTTGGGCGACACGCTGCTGCACCGGCGCTGGACACTACAGCACTGCGCTAGGAGGTAGAGGTAGAGGTGTAGGTAGGCAGAGGGGCGGAGGCCATACCTGCAGCAGCGGTACTTACCTGGCGCCATAGTCGCACTCCACGCCAGCGACCAGCACAGGGACCACAGCAGCAGTCAGTACATGGCGGCAGTTACCTGCAGGTGAGACAGCGAGGAGGACGACATCTTCTTCTTCGTCGTCATCTCGCCCTCCATGTCTTCTCCCTCCTTCCTCCTCCTCCTCCTTTTTCCTCTTCGTCATCTTGCCCTCCATGTCTTCTCCATCCTTCCTCCTCCTCCTCCTCCTCCTCCACCTCCTCCTCCTTCTTCCAAGAGAGAGAGAGAGAGAGAGATTACAGGCAGAGGTTACATTGTTCATTGCGCCCAGGATCTGATCCGACATTTTGTGGCAGACATTGATTGCACATTCGGCAAGGGACTATTTTTGGACTTCGCTATCACGATCTTGGTCTTCTCCCTCGCCTCCATCTTCGTCTCGCCTCTCCCCCCATCTCTCATCCGTGGTATGTCCCCCATGTGCGTGTGCGAGGAAGGACCTTTCTTCTGTGTATGTGGTCCCTCCTCCCCTCTCTCACATGTGTGGTGTATGATGGGATGTCGTGTCAGTCTCAGATAGGTCAGGTCATATCTTTGAGTCTTCCACTACGCTACATTGTGCCACTTCGTATGTATCGGGATGTACATTGCTTGTTGATGCTTTGCTGACATTGCATTGTCCATTCTAGTACTTGTCATCACTTTGCGGATCCTTGGCTCCATATACATTGCCCAACTGGGCATGTATCAGTTGGTATCGGAGCTACCGCTAGTGAATCCGGACAGACCTGACATAGCACACGAAATGGAAGATCGATCGGTCGATTGATTGATTGATTGATTGATTGATTGATTGATTGATTGATTGATTGATTGATTGATTGATTTATTGATTGATTGATTGATCGATTGATCGATTGATTGATTGATCGATTGATTGATTGGTTGGTTGGTTGATTCAGATCGGCTGATTGATTGATTGATTGATTGATTAGGTTACCCTAATTAATTCCATTCGCAATTTTTCAACCTAGCTGCCCACAAAAAAAATTCTTCGGCATTCTGTTTTTGGCGCAAATTCGTTTTTTTTGGCTTTCTTCTTTGTGCGTTTGTGTTTGGAGCATACACATTAATTAGGGTCAGCTCCTCTTGTTGGTAAGTGATGTCTAGTCTAATTCATCTCCCCCCTGTTTGGTCTACTGACACTTGATGTATTGCTATGAACTGTGCTGCTATAAAACTACTGTGAATCAGGACTACTGCCTCTGCCGAGGAGGCAGTGGGGCTGTCCTGTCCACCCATTCTGCTCTCTGAACGTACTCCAATCTTCTTATGATTTCTCCTTTTATGTCTGTGTTTAAATGAGGCTGTTACATGTGTTTCCTGTAGGCAGATCATGTCTGGTGGGTCTCCATCGAAACAGTTCATTGTTGCTGTTAGCCTGAACTTCATCTAGTCTTGACAGTATGGAGGCTAAGTCCCACTTCCAGGGTTCCAAAGTCCCATGTACCAAAGAGTACCAGTCCAATTGTTAGGTTTGTCCCATTAAGGTTCACAGGACTGGAAGGTCAGGGAGTTCAGGCCAATTCCGTCCAGGCCTGTCCAACCCCAGTCAGCGGCCCAGGGTCCCAGGAAAGTGAATGGGCACTTCGGACATGATGAAGGCGGAAACCGCAGCCGCAGGCTACCGGTACCGGTTGGGAAGCCCCAGGAAGGGAACCTGAATTGTCCCATACCAAAGCACAGCAGCAGTTGGCAACGGAATCTTTTTGACTCGTATGTGCGGCGGGAATGCTGCTGCAACCTTGTGTGACCAAACATCAAGTGGGGCTGGAGTTAGGAAGCGACCGGTTGTGGCTGGGCGCTATAGCTAGCTAGGGGTAGCAAGAGAGAGAAGACATTGAGAGAGGAAGTGAGGCCAGAGGGGAGAGAGAGAAAGAGAGTAAGAGAGTTCGTTCTTGTTCGTTGTTGATTGCCACCAACTTGTCGGTCATAGCCGCCGAGCTGTATTCATGCAAACTTGTCATATAAGAGTTCAAATTTTGCACAGTTTTGGAAGCTCGCATTTGTCACATTTGGTTTCCCGCTCTCGTGTGATGAAGTGTGCTCTTGGTGTGAAGTGAGATCTTGTTTGAAGCTTGGGCTCATTGAACATACATGACATCACTGGTTAATGACGGGGATGTGGTGCAGGTTATTGTCATTGGTCATGTCCAAGACCATTCGGTAAGGTCTTGGTTCTGCAAATTCGGTGATGTGGAAGTGGAGGCAGACATGGTGAGGGATGGTATCTTACGGTGCAAACCACCAGTTAGACAGAAGGAAGAAAAGGTTCTGTTTTGTGTCACATGTGGTGATGGCAATTGCTGCAGCAATGTGAGAGTCTTTGATTATCGTGGCCAAGGAACTGGAGCTGAGAACGTGACGCAGATGGGATTGCTGATCCGCATTGTCAAGACAGTCCTTTCTGATGAGTTGGACAACCAACTGGCAGACGAGGCTGTCAGAACGGGGACGGATCGCAACCCTGGTGCTCTCGGGGAATGGGAGTGGTTGCTGCGGGGGGAGCAATCTCTTGCATATGTGCAGGAACATCTGCTTCAGATGCTATTGAAGCGACGGCTGTCTGAGTGGCTCCATAAACAATGCCAGATGTCATATCGAGGACAAGATGGTAACCCCTGTACAGCTGTTGACAGGCTGGATAACACTGGAATGGGCATAGTGCATATTGCTGCTGCTCTGGGTTATGGTTGGGCAGTTTCAATTCTGAGAGCAGCGCAGGCTAGCCTGGACTCATGTGACTTAGGTGGGAGGACACCCTTGCACTGGGCCGCAGCTTTTGGACGGTGGGTAGACGAGCGCCATGTCCTGCTTCTTTTGTTGTTCAAAGTGTTGGTAAGGCAAGAACCTTGATTCTGTACCTGGCCCATGTGGCTGAATGGTACGTGCATGTAATTGTTAGCAAACTGATCATGACTTTGAATCCTGGTGGGACCACATAAATGTAATAATGTCAGGTGCTACCACCTTCAGTAAAACAACAGTAGGCCGCGCATGGGGGAAGACCAGGTCCCTAATGTGGGCGGGCCAATAGGAGGCAATGCGAAGGTAATGGAAAGTATGAACAGAGGCAGGCAAAAGAACAGAGAGAGGGAATAAGTGCCGTGTGTCCATACGTATACAGATAGGCCATACATCAGTGTTTCCCTTTGTATCGTGTTGTTGCTGATGTTGTTCACATATGTTTTTCTTAATCAAAAATTTTATTTGCTCTCTCTCTCTCTCTCTCTCTCTCTCTCTCTCTCTCTCTCTCTCTCTCTCTCTCTCTCTCTCTCTCTCTCTCTC